CACCACACCTAGCTTAGTTCACATACTTTCATGTTGTATTCATGACAGTGCACAGCTCAGAGATGAGTGCAACATCCTCAGTGGGTACCCATGGTGTCATCCCTTGACAGAAGAGTAGTTTAATCCATCCAAGCTTGCTGGTGTGGGTTTCGGGAACAATGGCATTGTCTTCCCCTTTAGTTTACCTTGGGCAAGGTAAGCAGCAGGCTGACATTGTATGAGATTGCAGTTAGCGCCCAGGATAGAACTAAACATCTTAGAGTAGAGAGGAGCCCCCTCACCCCTAAACAGAGTTACCGTGTGCCCTAGCATGTTTCTTCTAGGAGGGAGTTCTGGGGTAACCCCGTCTCCGAGGCTCTTCATGAACTAGATTAATTGTACGCAAAATCACTTAGAGGTTTAATTTAAACATACTCAACATCCTTTACTTAGCGCCAGTCTCCATCCTGGGTGCCATGTGGGTTAGTATAGTCCCTGGCTGTGGTTTTTGTTTCTGTTAATTCTAAGTAGTTATTTTCCACTCTTGAAATGTAAAAGATACCACTTGAAAAATTGTAGTTGTACTGAGTAAGTGCTTTAATTTTAGCTCTTAGGCAGTGGGATTAGTGTTTGCCCTGTACATCTCCTTAGGATGACTCATTGTCTTTTTTCCCCTCTTTTTAAATAATTTATTTTTATTTTATGTGCATTTGTGTTCTGCTTGCATGTTTGTCTGTGTGAGTGTGTCAGATTCCCTGGAACTGGAGTTACAGACAGTTGTAAGCTGCCACGTGGGTGCTGGGAATTGAACCCGGTCCTCTGGAAGAGCAGCTAGAGCTCTGAACTACTGAGCCATCTCCCCAACCCTGTATTTTTCTTTTTGTTTTTGCTTGAGAACTGATTTCACTATGTGGCTCTGGCTAGCTGAGAATTTATAGCAAGCAGTCCTTTTGTCTCCTTAGCGCTAGGATTAGGGGCCTGTCCAACTGCTTAGCAGTTTGACTGTGAGGTCCGTTCCAGTGAATTGCTTAGGCTGGCCTTGAAAACCCTAGCTCTCAAGTGCTGGCATTTTAAGCCTGGGTTACTGTGTAGTATTGGTAGTTTGGTTTTAAAGTTACACAGAGAATTTTTTAGATGTTAGGAATTCCCACGGTGTATTCTCTGTGTGTATGTGTGTGTGTGTTTGGTTGGCTTTTTATATTTGGGAGTTGATCTGGAAGCACAGGGATGGAGTGTTCGGGCTATGAAAATTAGTCCATTCTCCCTGCTGTCTGTGGGGTGCTGTGTGGAGTGTGTGGTTTTGCTCGTGGGCTTTCACTGGCTAGAGTTGATAGCAACATCAGATTTGAAGCTAGCAGTCCTGGGAAATTGAAAATGTGAGTGTTTCACCAGTCTTCCTTTAGGCTTTTTGTTACCTTTTATGCTTCTCAGTGTGTGTGTGTGTGTGTGTGTGTGTGTGTGTGTGTGTCTCCACTTAGAGATACTTTTGTTAAGTCACTATAGAGTGCTAGTTTATTCAGTGTCAGAAAACAGGACCATACAAAGTTTCTCCTTAAAACATTTTTAAATTTAGTGTGTATGGGTGTTTTCCTGCATGCATATGGTGCATATTTGGTGCTTGCATAGGCCAGAAGAGGGAGTCTGGTCCCTTGAGGCTGAAGTTGTGAGTGGTTGTGAGCCACCATATGTCTGGGGGATTTGAACCCCCTGGGTGCTCTGGAAGAACAGTCAATGCTCTAACCTGATGAACCACCCCAACCCCTCTTTAAAAGTATTGTTATATTAAAGTGTGGGGGTGGGGTGGGGTGGGGTGGGGGGGGGGCCGCTGTTGGAGGTCAGGACATTTTACAGTTTTCTCTATCCATCTTGATAGTTCTGAGGATTACACTCACGTTGGCAGGCGTCTTTATCCACCAAGGCATCTTAGCAGCCCTTGTTTGTTTCCATTCTTTGAGACAGGTCTTACTTTGTAACAGTCCCAGCTGGCTTCAAACTTGTGATCTCATCAGCTTCCTGATTGTTATTAGAGTATAGATAAATGTATTTTTTTTAAGGTTTATTTATTATGTATACAGTGTTCTGCCTGTATGCCAGAAGAGGGCACCAGATCTCATTATAGATGGTTGTGAGGCACCATGTGGTTGCTGGGAATTGAACTCAGGACCCCTAGAAGAATAGTCAGTGCTCTTAACCTCTGAGCCATCTCTCCAGCCCCCAGATAAATGTATTTTAACATTGTAAGTGAAACCATACATTATGGTAGTTCATGGGATGGAGCACATGGCCTAGCACATGTTAAGCAAGTGCTCCACCCCTGAGCTAGCTACACTGCAGCCCCCAAATAATCCAGAACAATGATTGAGGAGAAATTGCAGGTTACAACCCTTGAGTTTAGTATAGATGGCCCCTATTATATTGTTTTGTACCCTTAAAAAAAAATAAAAAATCTAGACCACTAAATAAAACTTTAGCATTTGCAAAATAAAGACATAGTTGGGGCGGGACATAAGATGTCTTAGCTAGTAAAAAAAACATTTGTTGTGCAAATCTGATGCCTTGAGTACATCCATGGACAGTAAAGGTGGAAGAGGAGAACTGACTCCAGTTGTCTTGTGACTTCGTATGCATGCTCTGTTAGTATCCCCACTCCAAATTGTGTACACAGACATACTTTTAACGATTTCAGGAAAGACAAAATGCTTGGTTAGTTTAAGATTAGCTGTGGAGAATTTGTTTTTCTTGCTGATGATGTAGTTTGACCCCATTTTCTGAATTACCACCTAGAGTGTTTTTGATGCTTTTGATTGTGGTGACAGTCAGGGTATCAGAGCCTTAGGCCGCCTTCAAACTCAGCTATGTTGCCAAGGATGGACCCAAATATCTGGTCCTCCTGCCTCTACCAAGTGCTGGGTTCACAGTTGCTGGGGATGGAACCTAAGGCTATGTACTAAGCTCCAGGCCAGCCATTTGAGATACTTTACAGCACTCAGTTCAGACAGCTCACATCCTGTGTCCTCTTCTGGCTTCTGGACACTATACACAAATGAACAAACCCACACAGAGGCATACACTTACATAAATTTAAAAAAAAATGTGTTTTCAAAGTAGTTAATAAATGAACTCCATAAAAGATGGCCTCCTCCAGTCCCAGCTCAGACAGCAGTTGACTTCATTTGTTCACCCTGTATTAGTAAACTCCTGTTAGTGAACACACCAAGTTACTTTCATCCACCCACTGCCAGACCTTGGAAGAAGACAGCCAGGGCCATTGGCCAGTTAAGTCCTGTTTTCTTGGACTCAGCTTTAGGCAGTGCTGCCTGGCCAGCCAGTCTTGTTCAAAATAACCTTGACCGCTTGTGCCTCTGCTCTGGCCCCTGTGATCCTATCCTGATAGAGCCCTTTTGGGGGAATGCCAGCCGGAGACCCCTCTTGTGGAACCAGGGCTCCCTGGAATGTTGTGTTTGTGTTCATCTGACTGCAGGCAGACCAGCCAGTTCTTGTGCTGGTTTCTCTTGTCTGTCTGTCGTTATGTGTCTGTGACATCCTTCTTCATGCATTTGTGTTTGAAAGTATGTAGTGTATGATTCTTTACAGATTTCCCACTTTCCTAGGGGAAATAAAAACACTAAGGTAAGTTTAAAAGGTAATTCTAAATACTATATTGTTAGCTGCCATAATGAAAAACTGAATTTGCTGCTCACTTTAGATTGCAGTGTTGATATATGTTAGATGTAGAGTATTCTTGCTGAGTCATTGGTCAGCGGTGCACCACTCCCTACCCCCCCACCCCCACCCTGGTTTTTTCTCTATCCCTGGCTGTCCTGGAACTCCTGTAGACCAGGTTGGCATTGAAGTCAGAGAACCTGTACTGTAGCCTCTGTGCTGTGGCCACCCCCAACCCCCGTCCCAAAGAGCTGGTATCATAATAACCATGCCTGGCTATTGAAAAAGCCTTTTCTTTTCAGGAGCATCATCATGTTTTCAGTTAAAGTGATGATGGTTTGTCCCAGGCAGAGTACTTCAGATTCCACTGGTCTTATAAAATTTTAAAATTATAAAATTTAAGATTCTTGTATGTTCCTGTGAGTGTCCTGCCTGCCTGTGTTGCCTGTGTATCACATGGGTACTGCCCCTGGAGGCTAGAGGGTGTCGGATCCCCCTGGAACTGGAGTTGAGATGGTTGTCAGCCTCCGTGTACGTGCTAGGAACTGAACCTGTAAGAACAGCACATGCCTTTAACCTCTGAGTTAACTCTCCAGCTTTATCTTGTAAAAATCTTGGCCATCAAATTGGACAGAAATGAGAAACACAATTCTTGGGACAGCCTCATCAGGCTCACCGGCAAGTGACAGCTACCTGTTGCTGCTGCCTTAGAACACTTGTAGATCAGGCTTGTCTGAAATTCTGCTGGAATTAAAGGTGTGGGCCACACAGAATTATTTTGGTGAAAGCATCTCCTTCTATCTGGACAAGTATCTAAGGTTGGAGGCTGGAGAGATGGCTCATTCCTTGCAAGAGATTAGATTCCAGAACTCAAGTCCGGCATTTCACAACTGCCTTTAACTCCAGCTCCATGGTGACCAGATGCTTCTGGCCTTTACGTATACATGCACCTAACCTATCAAAGACACATGTGTGCATAAAATAACAGAGGGGGGGGAACCCAGAGATTTGTCCTAAAGTTGAAACCATGTTTTCTAACGAACCTAACTGTGTACTTGAGCAAAAAACTTTGTTGAATGGCACTCTGAAGGCTTGATAAAGAGCCAGGTGTACATGGACGCACCGTTCGCATTATGAGTCTGGTCATTTGCTTTGTAGCTTTGGGCTTTATTTGAATGATACCAGTAAGTAAAAGTGTTGGGCATGTGCTCCAGACCTGCTAAGAGCTGTTGCTCTTAATAGTAAGATATTTGTTCCTAATGGACTGATGTGTATCAAGACATTAACCTATTGTTCTTCTCCTATGGAAAAAATAAACTTGTGTTATTTTTATAACACAAATTTTCATTTGTTTCTAGAAGACCCATTTGATGACTTCTTTGGGAACCGAAGGGGTCCCCGAGGAAGCAGAAACCGAGGTGCAGGCTCGTTTTTCTCTGCCTTCAGTGGATTTCCTCCTTTTGGAGGTGGATTTCCTGCTTTTGATACAGGTATTAAAGCCCTAAATGGATCAGTCTGAACAAGGCTTTTAGCTAGCACAGTTTGAAGTTTGTAGGGGGCTGGACAGGTCGTCTCTGTTTGCTTGGAAATCTATTTCCTGTCTTGAGTGTGGGTGTGTAGACTGTCAGGGTCTTGCTATATGGACAGGTGTGAAGGTAATGCTTGTAATCCTGGAGATTGTAATGACACCCTATCTCAAAGTAAGAAAAGCCATGGCCACCATTGTGAGACTGTAGGGTATATAGTTTTCCCCTGCCTTAAGGTGCTCATAAGGTGTGTCCCAAAAAGTCTGCATGTGAGAAAACAAAGGGCATTATTCCTATCTTGAGAAAAATTCTACTGTTGTGTATGAGTACTTGGACACATGGATACCATTGTGTTTGTTTGGAGGCCAGAGGGAGAGAGCTCTTGGGGGTGATTTTTCTCCTTCCACGTGGGTTCTTGGTATAAAACTAAGGTCATCAGGTTTTTTTTTTTTTTAGATTTATTTATTTATTTTGTATACAGCATGTATGCCCAGAAGAGGGCACCAGATCTCATTACTGATGGTTGTGAGCCACCATGTGGTTGCTGGGAGTTGAACTCAGGACCTCTGGAAGAGCAGTCAGTGCTCTTAACCTCTGAGCCACCTTTCCAGCCCCAGTCATCAGGTTTTAATGGCACGCTTTTATCAGCTCATAAATCATGCATCTGGTTGCCCCTTAGAATGGTTCTCAACCCGCTGATCTCGACCCCTTGAGTGTGTCAAACAACTTTTCATAGGGATCTCCTAAGACCATCAGAAAACACAGATACTTACTTACATTACAATTAATAACTAGCAAAATTACAGTTAGGAAATAGCAGTGAAAATAATTTTATGGTTGGGTTCACCACAACATGAGTGTCTATATTAAAGGGTGTCCGCATTATGAAGGTTGAGATCCACTGCTCTAGAGAATCATTAGTAATAATAAGATTTTGTGTAAAGTAAACAAGAATAATGAGATTTAATTTCTTTATTTTGGTATGAGCTTCAATAATGTCAATTAAACTTCCAGCGCTCGTTTCCTGTGGGTATCACCAGTCCTAGGCAGCATTAGAGCTTAAATAGAGCTTAAATGATTGAGACATGCCTAGGAATGTGAGTTGTTTTAGTTTGAGAAACAGGAAACGTACTGAGGTCTTTAACAAAAACAAACAACCTCACATCAGAAAATAGGTCTGCTCCATTACCTTAAAAATTAATGGTCTTTACAACCCATAGTGTAATTGTGGTATGATTGAGAGCAGTGTGCACATATTGCAAGAGTACGATTTCTCAAATAATTATTCTGTTTCTAAAATTATTTTAAAGTTTTTATTTTATGTATATGGGTGTTTTGTCTGCATGTACTCCTCTTACCATGTGTATACCTGGTGCTCATTGAGGCTAGAAGAGAACTTTGGATCCCTTAGAACTGTAGTCGGAGACACTTGCAAGCTGCTGGGGCTCAAACCTGGAAATGCGTCAAGTCCTCTCCTCTTAACTGCTGAGTGTATTTCCAGGCCCTCTAAAATTATTTAAAAATTTTTATAGTTCAGATTTTTCAAAGAATTAGTTGTTAGTCTAAAACTTTTTCTTTTGAGTCCTACTGTTCTGGTGATCACTATAAAGCCTTGACCTCTATAGAGCCTTGACCTCAAACCTGTAGTCATTGTCCTGCTTCAGTCCCTTAAGTGTTGGGATTACAGGCACGAACCATAATACCTGGCCAAAGAATTGGAGTTTTGGGGTACTGGGGATCCAATCTAGAACCTTGTGCATGCTGACAAGCATTCTGTACCTGAGATAATACCAGCAGCCCTTAGCACAAGGTTTGTGTCCTGTGATCCCATTGCAAGAAAATGAGCTAGGTAGGCTCATATTTCTGTTGTGCTCTGTCTGTAACATAGAGATACTTCTTACCCCTTCTCCGTCTACTGTTTGGTACTAAGTAGATACCCCAGAATAGGGGCAGTCTGGCAAGTTGGAAATACCAGTGAGCCGAAGCAAAGCACTTTGGGAGGAGAGACCACTGAAAGAAAGTAGCTATAGCTCTACAGAAGTGATTCTGGAGATGGCCATGCTGTTGACAGACATGTGTCTCCCACCTCAAATCTCAATCTGTAGATAGACTAAGATGGTCTTGTGCTTAGGGGGAAATCACCTGCCTTTTCATCCCACTTGGTTGGATTAATTTGTGCCATCACACTAGGACCTTGGCATATTGCTCTTTGAAGCAGCTTTTGGGTGGTGGGGGTGGGTTTAAGCCAGGTTGTGGCAGCACACTCAGGAGGGTGGCACACTCAAGAGGGTGGCACGCTCAAGAGGCAGTTCAAGGTTAGCCTGGTCTACAGAGTGAATTCCAGGACAGCCAGGACTACACAGAAACCCTTTTCTTGAAAGGTTTCATTCAATTCTTTGTATTTGTGTATGTGTGGGCACTTGCTGGGGAGCAAGTGGCATGCATGGAGAGTGCAGTCAGTTCTCTTACTATGTGGGTCGGGGGCAAACCAGGCTTGACAACTGGTGCCTAACCCACTGAGTCATCTCACTGGCCCTCTTGGAAGCTTACTAAGTTTTGAACTTAGTAATTTTTTGCATGAATACTTGAAGTATGCAGCCTTTAACTGTATTTTCTGTTTCTCTATAGGATTCACTCCATTCGGCTCACTAGGGCATGGGGGCATCACTTCCTTCTCTTCAGCATCATTTGGCGGTAGCGGAATGGGCAACTTCAAATCAATATCAACTTCTACTAAGATAGTTAATGGCAAAAAAATTACTACAAAGAGGTATTTATCAATGAATTTATTTGTTTACTTTTGAGGTAGTGAACTCACCTAGACCAGGCTGGCCTCAGATTCACAGAGAGCCACTTACCCCGCCCCTAGTGCATTAAATGCTCAGCCAAGATCTTGACTTTCTTGATTCTTCTGCCTTCCATGATAGCAGTACTGTGGTTAGTGGTTTTCACACCACTGTTGTGCTATGGCTTGAAATGCAGGATCTTGCCCAGAGTAGGCAAGCGTCCTACAAACTGAGCTTTACCTCCAGCCCTTATTATTTTTCCACTTAAAAGTTTTTGAGACTTGGTAGACCTGGATGACCTTGAACCCTCTAATCCTGCTGCTGTCTTTCTAGTGATGAGTTATAGTCATGCACATCACATGTAGCTTAGTGTTTGTTCTTAGTCATGGGAGTCTGATGGCACAGTGTTTCACATGCTTGCTTTGCACATCCCTCCGAGCTGAATTTCTAAATCAGCTAAAGTTTTAAAGCCTTTTGCTTTCAATATTTGCTTAATGTATACTTTGAGGCATGCCAGTGTGTGGTCCTATGAGATGAGCTTTCCTGGCACTGTGAGTGTTGCAAAAGGAAAGTGGCTGAGTAGGAGAACCCTATGGTTGAGTTGGGCTGGAATCCAGGGTCCAGGTGCTCTGCCCCTTAGCCACACCTCAGCTCCAGCCTTATTCTTTGTGTTGGTAACATCTTGTGTATTGTTCGCAGACAGAGTCACAGTGTTTATAGAGTCCAAACTTAGTTTTGTCAGGACAGGAATCTTAAAAAAGAATTCTTAAGCTGAATTTTGAGCTTAATTTTCATGGGCCTGTTCTATAAATACTCATATTTAAGAATATTATAAAAACCTTTTTTGTGCTTCTAAGGACGAGCCTAGGGCCATAAGTGTGCTAGGTAAACTCTACATTCCAGTTGAACACCAGTTTCTAAATGAATCATTTCTTACAGAATTGTGGAGAATGGTCAGGAAAGAGTAGAAGTTGAGGAAGACGGACAGTTAAAGTCCTTGACGATAAATGGTAAGGAGCACCTGCTACGCTTGGATAACAAGTAATTCAACGCACGCATTTAACAGAAATGGTAAACCATAACAAGCACCATTTGAGGAATAACAGGAACTTTTTTTTTGAAGATTTCAAACGAACTCGACTTTCTGTATAACTGTACCTAATCTAAAGTATTTATAAAACAGCTCATCGGAGCCCCTATTTGTCATAGACTTTTGAGTTTGTTGTTGGGACCACAAAATAGGACCATTTTTTTGTCTTTAAAATTGTTGTAATCTCTGTATGCACTTTGCTTTAAACAAAAGAAAACAAAACGTAATCTGAGGTGAGCCCTGTGACTCTTGAGTAGTGCTAGGACAAGACTGTTGTTTAACACCAGCATGGATCTGCTTCCTTCCCATTGTGTTGACATGTGAGTGAGTAGTGTCAGCCTGCTGTGAAGTTAACATTGCCAGATGAACCTTCCACAGAAATATTTCAATTTTATTTTCAGTATTTAGTAATGAAAGCTATTACTGCATCAATGGTAATACATTTCTGGTTTAGTGTAAATTAAGGATGTTTTCTAGTTGTGCATGGATGCTGGCAAATTTGTCAGTTCTGACAATTGTTTAAATATGTAATGTTAAGCTTAGGTTTAAAAAAAGCTGGTAATTTGGGTCTATGTCATTTGCTTAAAAAAAAAAAAGAAAATAAATGCGAATGTGTTTGGTGCATTCTTTCATGAGTGGGGTCTGCAGCCTTCTTGTGTCTGTGTGATTTTTGTGCCTGGGCTTCTAGTGTCACTGCTGTGCTTCCTTCCATCATTATGGTGGATTCTGAGTGGAAGTCACATAGAGATCTGTCTTCAGTGTGTATGTACAGAGAGTATATGAAGACCTGTAAACAATGACCAACAATGTGTGTGTGTGTGGAGGGGGGCGCTTAGATTATATGAAGACCTGTATAAATAATGAGCAACAACTTAGTGATTTGTTGGGGATTGAATCCAGGGCTTGATGCATGCTAGACAGGTAGTTACCACTGATACCCTCTTATCCTTGTATTTTTGAAATCTCTTCTAAACAGCTCAGTGTAGTCTTGAGCTCTAGATTTCTCTGCCTTCACTCCAAGGGATTATAGGCATGCTCCATCATGTTTTGCTGTTACAAATGTTAGTATAACAGTTTGTGAGGAAAAGGAACCAGTTCAGATTTCATTGAAAACTCTGTTGTAGTTTTCTAAGATAGTTTACACAGACTATCATTTCAGGGCAGTGTGCATGGAACATCATGGTCTGCTTAAAGAGCCAACAACAATGAATTTCTCTGGTTTTTCAGTCTGTAAAAATAACCTTTGGTTACGACAATTCTAGCTAAATGTGATATTAAACTAAACTTGCATTTAAGCCCCCGCTCTATCATTTAGGAAGTGAGAAGTGTAGATTCTGATTGTTGTAAAAATTTCTCATGGGACTGTAAGGACTCTGATACTGCCTGGAATAAGGAATAGCCATTTTACAAACTTTCATAGGAGAGAAGAAAACCTTTAAAGTGCATAGCTAAAGTGAATGATCTAAAGATGATGGCAGAGGATTAAGCATTTGAACATGTCTTGGGAGTGAGCTGGTTGTGACTCCCACTTCTTTGGATAAGGTGGGTATGCAAACGCACTGCAAATCTGAAGACATGGGTGCCTATTGCTTTGCTTCTCAAATAGTGTGTGACCAGAAAGCCCTACTTCATTAACGACATCAAGTAGGTACCTGGAAACAGGATGAGACAGAAGCTGTGGTGTTGCTAAGGATATGGGAGTGGAAAGGAATGAGGCAGTACTTGGCCTCAGTTTTGTATTTGCGCATGTGTGAGAATACTGTGATGTTGGAACTTGAAGCTTTGGAGGTCATGCAGCTGTGCTAGAGGCCAAAGACCAGGGGTGGAGGAGGAGGGCGGCGTGTCCGTTGCTGGCTGTGCGGACACACAACCCACTTGGTAAAACTGGTTCCCAGAGAGCAGAATCAATCCCCAGGGTGGATGCCACTTGATGCCACTTTGGGAAGGTTTGAATTGCTGTGTGGTGGTGGTGGTATTTAGCAGTGACTTGATAAATGAAAAGGTCCCTTTACCACTTTGAAAAGGAAGGTCTTGGGGTCTCTCTCTCTCTCTCTCTCTCTCTCTCTCTCTCTCTCTCTCTCTCTCTCTCTCTCTCTCTCTCTCTCTCTCGTTTTTCGAGACAGGGTTTCTCTGTGTAGTTTTGCGCCTTTCCTGGAACTCGCTTTGGAGACCAGGCTGGCCTCGAACTCACAGAGATCCACCTTCTTCTGCCTCCAGAGTGCTGGGACTAAAGGTGTGCGCCACCACCACCTTAAAGTTCTCTCTTGAGAATCTATGTGAAAGCTTGTGAGGGTATGCTCAGTTTCTGTACAGGACGATTCTCAGAAGCTGGCTGCCATGTGCAGAGTCCTTGATTAGGAGGTGCTTGTGTCTGTAAGTTTCTCTTTTTCCCCACTCATTCTCTTCTGTGTCAGTGAAGTGAAGGCTTATTCCCCACACTTTTTTTTTTTAAAACAGAAGTTCTAGGATTGGTTCTGGAGCTGAGTCACTGTTAGGATATGCAATGAACATATGTTCGTTGAGTGGCTTGCCTTGTGGAGGTTAAGGGCAGTTTTCAATAGCAATGTGTAGTCAATCTGGCCATACAGCAACGTTCTCAGCCTGTGTGTCTACACGGTTAAAAGTGGGGGGTACTTGTAGGTGCTCAGGTTTGAGGAACAGTGGGATGAGCTTCTTGGCACAACTCTAGTTTTTATTCATCATGTGTGTGTGTGGCCTCTTAAGGAATATCATCTCTTCCAGAATTCTTTTTTTGGGGCATGTTGATGGTAGAGAGAGAGAGTCTCATTCTCCTGCCCTAACCCCCCCCCCCTCCCCCCAAGTTCTGGGATGATCTACAGGCATGCACTGTTAGCCTCTCCTTGTTGTGGGTCTCACTATGTATGTAGACCATGGACAGCCTGGTCTACCTAGATAGTACAGCCTATATAGTTCTGAATTCAGAGATATACCTGTCTGACTCTTAAGTGCTGGGATTAAAAGTGTGCACCATCACTCCCAGCCCTTTGAGATGGTTTCTTTGTGTAGTTCTGGCTTTCCTGGAACTAAACCAGGCTATCCTCAGACTCAGAGGTGTGTCTGTCCTCTGCCTCCCAAGTGCTGGGATTAAAGGTAGGCACCACCACCGCCTGGCTCCCAGCCTTTTTTTTTTTTTTTTTTAAAACTTTATTGTGGATAGAACCCAGAGATTTGTGCATGGTGTACCCAAGCTGCATTCCCCAGCCCTCTTCCGGAATATTTTCTCAGATTCTTCTGTTACACTTTTTGTGTTTTTAGTTTGGTTTTTCTGCGTTGTTGGGAGTTGGGGGAGATAAGGTCTCACTGTTGCTTAGGCTGAACTGGAAGTTCATTGTCTAGCCTACTTCAGCTTTCCAAGTGCTGTGATTATAGGCACAAACTGCTACACCTGATTTGCTGCTGCTTGGTTGACTTCATTTGAATTATTTGCATGGACCCTAGGGATGATAGGGCACAATCCATAGATTGCTCACCCTAGCATATACCAGTACTTGGATTTCATCCATCTGCCAGCACAGATTAAATCATAACCTCAACCTCAGCTTGTAGGTGGTTTGAAGATACTGATGGGTATGAGACCCTGTTTAGGGTTGCGAAGAAGTGCTGGGGAGTGTTGAAATACATTTCTCAGAGCTTTCCTTTTTAAAAAAAAAAATCATTTTACATTTGTGTTTGGGTGTGCCTGTTTTCCTGTGTGCAGTGTACACATGTAAAAAGCATTTTGTGCATGAGTGTTGTATGCATGTGTCTACTTGTGCACCATGTGTATGCAGTGCCTGAGGAGGCCAATAGAGGCCATTAGATCCCCTGGAATTGGAGTTACAGACAGTTGTGAGTGGCTGTATGGTACTGAGAATTGAATTCTGGTTCTGGAAGAGTGGCCAATGCTCTTAACTGCTGAGATATTTCTCCATCTCCCATTCTTGATTAAAAAGTCATTCATTTGGTGTACACTTTTAGGTGACAGTGGGTTTAAAATAAAAAAACTGGGTATTTTGCCTATATGTATGTCTGTGCACATGTATGTTTGTACTGTGCATGTCTAGTGCTTTTGGAAGCCAGAAGAGGGTGTTCCCCTGAACTAGAGTTACAGGTAGTTTTAAACTGCCATGTGGATGCTGGGAATAGAATCAGATCCTCTAGAAGAGCAAGTACTCCTAACTGCTGATCCTTCTCTACATCCCAGGACTTGGTTTTATGCGTCTGTGTGAGTGTGCACATGTGAGTGGAGTTACTCATAGAGGCCAAAAGAAGGCACCTGATTCCTTGGAGCTGGAATACTAAACAGTGTTGACAAGGTTGTTGTGGGTGCTGGGAACCAAATTCAGGTCTTCTAGAAAAATGCAAAATGCTGAGCCATCTCTCCAGCCCACTGACAACATTATGTTCTGTTATAGGCTGGTTTTAGAAAGCATAGTATACAAAAAGTCTCCTTTTCCCCAGTTTTGGGGAAATAGATCCTGAAATTTATCCATTGTCTCTGGGAATTTTTGAAATAATAGGACAGTTTTTCCCTTTTTGCCCTCTGGTAGCCAGAATCTGGAATGAGCTGACGAGCAGGAGGTGTATCCTTTTTTTTTTTTTTTGACAGTCTTACTATGCAGTCTGTATTGATAGTACATCAAGGAATGGAAACACAGGCTTCCTCTTAATTGACCAAGAATGAACCCACATTTGAATCTTCCACTTCTCTCTCTTTTCTTTCTGTGGTCACTGGCTTGTCTGTAGTCAGCATGTGTGTCTGTATTTGTCCTGTCTCCCTACCCTAAAAGGGCTGTGCTCTCTATTTATTGCACACAGGAAACACGGCATTCTTTAGAGACTTCAACAGTTTCACAAGGGAAGAAGTTATATTATTGCTCCTAATGACTCAGAACCAAACTCTAGAAGAGCAGATTCATA